TTGACTAATATATCCAGAATGCGCGAGATCACTATGGCAATGGAATAAACCTTTATGTGAAGCATCTGATAAATGGGGTTGGAATTCTCTACACTATGCTGTTAAACAAGGATTGAAAGAAATAGTTTCCGATATGTTGGGATGGAAGAAATCTTTAGCCTACCTTCCGGCAGGCAGTGAAAATGACTGGACGACCGCATTTCACATCGCTGCTAGTGAAGGTGATATGTTCATAATAATTGAGTTACTAAACCACTGCCCAGATTGTTGGGAAATGCTTAATAGCAATGGCCAAAATGTATTTCATGTTGCCTTCTTGAACGGTCACGAAACGTTTTTCTATGCCTTCTATGAGTATGAAATTCGTGATAGCCTTGTTGATGAGGCAGATAATGAGGGCAATACTCCACTCCATTTGCTTGCTGCCTCTGGGAACCGTGTGCCTCGAATGATATTCTACCAGCCTATCGCAAAGAAGATGACATTTAACAAACAAAATCAGACTCCACTTGACATAGCATTGTCTCGTACATGGACAATAAAGAAGGTACTCCCTCTTGTCCATGACGGACTGGATCGGTTTTCCCCATTTCTTTGAACTGACTCAGTCCGTTGGTTTCCTTTTTTTTTTTTTTTTTTTAATCAACAATGTAAATAAGATTAGCAAAAATTATAGAATTAGAGGGGGACATGGCAACCTAACCTCTAGACACAAAAAGAGAGCATACAGAGTATTTAATGCTCCTAAGAGATCTTGTCTAAGACTAAGAGTTCTGGCACATTGAATTGCTATAGAAGTAATCAGTAGCTTTAGCCTAAACATACTGGCATCTACAAAAGTAAGAGAATCATGGGGGATCGTAGCGCCAAGAAGAGTGCTTTTTTGCTTGTTTTCAAGAGGACGGGAGCTGGATCTTATCCATTCAAAGGGAACCAATAGCCTCCTTAGGAAGGTCTTCTTTATGTAGGGAAATTTTATCTTCTTAAGGGTGGTGGCATGCTTCGCAAGAGCATCTGCAACTCCATTACTTTCTCTATAGTAGTGACCAGGGGCGGCTCAACGTAATTGAAGGCCTAAAGCGAAATCTTAATTAGAGGCCTAAAATCTAAATAAACTTCACATGCATTTATTTAAAATTTATTTTTCTTACATTTTTAAATGCAAAGTATTAGCTAATATTTTTTATATATATAAATGATTTATTCGATTTCTTTTTCAATTATTAGTTTTAAATAAGATTTTATTAATTCAACGTTGCAAAATATTATTTTACTCGGGCAATCATTATATGAATTGTTAACATAGTTCTACAAGTAATAAGTTGACAAATTTCAAATAAATATAAGAGTTAGAACCATAGCTTTGATGAAATTGATAATTTGGTTACCCCACATTTTACTATGGTTATTGTAATGCTTGAAAATCTAAGAAGAAATGGAAAAAGAATTTACAATTCAATTTGTTCAACACTTTTCGACTATTAATTGATATTTTTGACAAAATATTACTCTAACTTATCAACAATTTAAAGAAGAGAGTGTAAAAGGAGTTAAAAAGAAAATAATGTGAGTATTAGTAGAGAGAGTGTAAGAAAATAAAATAATATTTTCTTGATTTCTTCTATTTGAATGGGGTTGAAGAGAATAAAATAATAAATTTAAATATATACTTTTTATCATAAATAATTAATGTTTTTCTTTAAAAAATAAACACATAATTTATTCTTGGTAAAAAATTGAAGCCCCCTAAAATTGGGGGCTAAGGCCAATGCCTCATTTTTGTATACATAGAGCCGGCACTGGTAGTGACTATTCGTGACATCTTCTGTTGCATTTTGTGTTGCATATCATCGATTATATTTTGCAATCTTGAAAGGGTGGTTTCCTTTGATTGGTTTTTGCACTGCTTTAGTAGTGATATTTATTAAGCGTAAAGATGAAAACTGTTCATCAGTATGCTTTGTCATGATTCCTTTATTTCTGTTATTGAACTGCTTTGATCTGTTTTTCATTGAGCCGAGGGTTCTATCAGTAACAACTTCTCTACCTCCGGGGTAGGGATTATAAGGTCTACGTACACCTACCTCCGGAGTAGGGATTACACTGAGTATATTCTTGTTGTTGATAAAGATAAAAACTAGAGTAACAATGAATTATATTTTTGTGTTTTTGAAAATGACAACTATTTTGGACTATCTATTTTTGGTAAGAACGAAAATTAAATGAACCAGAGAAAGTAGTTATTAATTCATCTTTTTCTCAAGTACTATTATATTTTCATCAGCTGATCAATTTTATTACTACATGTCACATCTTAGGAGGAATTGGTAGACGATTTGTGCAGCATAAATGGACGATTGGGACAACGTGACTTCAAGGTAAAACGGAAAACAGAAACGATTGGTAACATACAACAGATGAGGAAAAAGGAGGATGATGATGACAAAGCGAAGAGAGACAAAATAGAAATAGAAAAAATTATGAAGGCAGCTGAAATACAAGTAGTTGTAGCTACTCTCCTAATGACAGTCACTTTCGCAGCTGGCTTCACATTGCCAGGAGGTTTATACAGCGATGACAGTCCTAATAAAGGGATGGCGATTCTATTAAGAAAAACAGCTTTTTCGTGCATTTGTTATTTCAGATGTCCTGGCATTTGCATTCTCAGCTGGTGCTATATTCATCTACTTCTTCATGGCAAATTGTGATGTAGCCAAAGATGAAGAATGTGAACGGGACTGGTTCAAAGTTTTAAGGAGTTATTATTGTATAGCAGGTATTTTGCAACTTTTGGCAATGGGTGCAGTTGTAATTGCATTTGTAACTGGTATGTATGCTACTTTAGCAAATTCACTTGCTCTTGCTGTTAGTGTTTGAGTCATCGGTTGTGTCTCTTTTCTTATGTACTTTTGGATTATCTTTTGGGTAGAAAGCTAAGAAGAAACTCTTAAGAGCTCTTGCTTTTTAGGCCTATTGAGCCAGCAAACATACTTTGTAGTCATGCCCAAGTTGCCACCAAATACTTGGCCCAAATATGTATTAAATTGTGGTTAGATTATATGATCTAGTATAAATATTGAGTGCTAAATAAGTACTTATTTCTATGTTCAAGTTTATTTAGTGAATTTGTATTGAACTTTGAAAAATCTAGAATGGTAATTATTCTCCAAACGATGGTTGTATATGAAATTTCCTTTCTTCAAATATTAAAGACTCTGAACTTAAACTAGACTAGATGAAAAAACATTATTTTGAGAACTTTACTATTCATGTTTTAGAAATCAAACTAGTCAAGAATTTTTTTTTTGTTTATAATTTTCTTTTTTCCTCAAATAAAACCTACTAAAATAAAAGGTCAAAATGTCAAGATTAGACCAGAAATATATATTTTGTAAAACTTTGGTTCCATAAAAAATTAAATATTCATAATCACATCGTCCTATATTAACAAGTCTTCTTCATTTATGGACTTCATTTGCCAGAAAACCTACATATTTGTTTGCTTCTCTCCGGATATGGATGATATTCATCTTGGTGGCATTAAGCAAATACTTGCAATCTCTTATGATATTTTTAGATATTTTAAATATAAAAATAAAAATCCATCATATAAAAAGACACGAAACTAAAAACAAATTTGGAACAGTTATCTTTGTCCTCTTTGATTGCTCTAATTTTTTACTTCCTCTCTGTCTCACTCCCTTTTTCTATCATTATAATCCAATGCAGAGGCGGAGCCAGAATTTTCAATAAGGAAGTTCAAAATCTATAGAAATAGACACATGAAATAGCCGAAGGGGTTTCAACATCTGCTACATATACATATAAAATTATTTTAATCATATATAAATAATATAATTTTTCGTCAAAGAGGTTCGGATGAACCCCCATTGTACAAGGTGGCTCCGCCCCTGATCCAATGGCTGCCAACCTTAAGACTTGAAGTGGGCCCATCCTATCAATTTCCTAGCCAATAATAGTATGCCACGTGTGTTAACATGTGATAATTAAACATCAAAATTCCCTAACTGAGTCATAAAGTGTGAGAATGCCATAAGAAATTATTGTCTTATGTTATGTTCTTACCAACTAAGGAATCAAAGAATCTTTGTTGGGTTTTAGATTTGTAAAGAAACAAGAAGAAGAAAAAAGATCTACAAGGGTTAAACTGGTCTTTTAGATTTTATCCATCAAAGCAAAAAAGGTATGTTGCTACCTAATCAAATCTTTCTTTAGTTTTACTGTTTTCCCATGTTGGGTTTTACCTAAATACTCATTTTTTCCATGTGGGGTTTACTTTTGGTGAATGAATATGAGTTAAAGATGGGATTTTTAGTACATAGTGTTAATAAAGATTGTGCTTTTATCTTGGAGTGAGAAAATGTGTGTATTTATCTTTGTTGTGTACTATTACCTCTTTTCTGATTTGTTTGTGTTACTTTAATTTATCGAAGTTTAAGAAAATAAATAAGACTTTTGAATCTTGTGTATTAATGTTGTAGAAGGTATGAAAATGTCATTTAATTTCTCTTACTTGAAAAAAAGATGAGGTTTTTTCCCCTTTGAATTTTCAGTTTGAGTCCTTGGTTGGTAACTACTGGACTTAACTTTTGCAATCCCCTTTCTTAATTTAGATTGTTGTTCTTATTTTTGGATGTTATGCATAATTTCTTTTGGTACATTGGAAAGAAAAATAAACTACATCAAAAAATTTAAAGTTGTTCATTAGCAATATATGCTTAAGTTCGCTAGGAGAAGAAACTTTATGTTCTTAATAGTATTACAGGGCCTCTTCATGATTGTGATTCTCCATAAACAAGTAGTCTCCAGATACGTGCTTTGTATGTGTACCTGGACATATTAATGAGTGTGTTAGTTTAAAAAAATTGCTTAAACGCAATATAACAATGCTTTTGACTTAACTAGATACTTCATTTGTCTCAATTTATGTGACATTGTTTGATCGGGCACAAAGTTTAAGATATAAGAAGACTTTTGTGACACCTTGGATATCCACACATAATGGATCCAAGCATGTACAATGCTGCAAAGAAAGGGAGTATGGAAGATGGTGATTTTTCACTTGTTGATCATCTGAAAAGGGAGGAAGAAAATGGTTACCAAGTCACTCCAAAGGGAAATACAATCCTCCATGTGGCAGCTCACTTTGGCCAACAAGGTTTCGTGGGAGAAGTCCTTAAGATTACCCCGGCGTTATTATGCTATAAGAATAAGAAAAATGAAACTGCGCTTCACATTGCAGCTAATTTAGGACAAAGTGAAGTGGTGAGTGAACTACTTAGCATAGAAGGAAAGGAGACACTTGTGAGGATGACGGATGACATTGGAGATACTGCCTTGCACAAGGCCATTAGAAGTGGACACATTGACATTGTCAGGATGTTGGTGAAAGTATTACTAGATCCTGAACACGACTTTCCAGCCAATAAGGCTGGGAAGACACCACTTTATTTGGCAGCAGAGTCTGGTTTTCATGATGCTTTGATTGAAATCTTGAACGTTTGCAAGGAACCAACTTATGTTGCAGGTCCATCCAATCGAACGCCTCTACATGCAGCCGTAATTCAAGAACACACGGGTGAGTACCTCCTGGATGATTTCATCATATATAATATGGAAAATGATTAAATTTGTCCCTCTACTAATAAAAAGAAGCTATCTTTGCCTTTGGTTAAATTTATTTCAATAAATATACTTCTACAGTCATACTTTATGATCTTGTTGAACGGAAAAATCATCCATTTATCATCATCATATATAATATTTGACATATATATCCAGAATGCGTGAGATCACTATGGCAATGGAATAAACCTTTATGTGAAGAACTTGATAGATGGGGTTGGAATTCACTACACTATGCTGTTAAACAAGGATTGAAAGAAATAGTTACCAATATGTTAGTGTAACGACCCATTTGGTCATTTTGAGTACTAATGCGTTTTATTTCATAAAAGACTTTTTCGATAGATTCTAAATGGGTATTTTGGACTATTCGTAACTACAATATGAAATTTGTGGGGTAGTTTTAATAAATTACTTAGTTGGTGGTTAAATAAAATAACATAAAATTAATAGTGGATCACTTTTATTATTTTTATAATTGATCTTGTATAACAATTAGGGTTATAAACAATCAATAGAAGAAGAAAAGTTAGGCCAAACAGAGTAGTGGTCGGTAGCACACGTTAATATTTATATGTTAAAATTGGATTGGGTCTAGGCTAGACATATAGTAATATGGGTGTCTATGGACTCATTTACTTATGGATTATGCATGTTTAATAGATTGTAAACGTTTGGAGGCATTGAGGAAAGGAAAAGCTTTGGAAAAGTAGCTTGCTTGACTTTGGTTCTTCGGTGGAGGTAGGTTATGGTTTGTTTTATTTGATAGATAAACTCTTAATAGCGATTGATATGCATTGAATGATATTGTGAAGTTTTCTATGTACTTGACTGTGTGATTATGTGGCTTGGTTGTGTGGTTTGTGATTGGTCTAAAATCCTGAGACCGTGAGATTTATAATCTGAAAACCTTTCTATTGAAGTTATGCCTTGAATAAAGAGGGCTTGATGTAATATTATTAATGAACTGAAAAGTAGTGATAATAAATGATAAATTAATAATATTTTGGATCGGAGTGTCACGTTCCGACACAGTATTATTGGACCGGAGTGTCACGTTCCGACACGGATAATTGGATTGGAGTGTCACGCTCCGACACGGTAACCTTAAAGGAAAAAGATATTGAATTAACTTAATGTACTCAATCTCAATGAACGCATTCCCAAACGAGTGTGATGTAGAGGCATGAGTCCTCGTGTGTGTGCTTGATATTGTGATTGATTACGTACTTGCTTCAACTGTTACTTGTTCATGTTGTGGTTTCTTATCACCTGCTAAGTGCTATAGTTGACTTTATACTATTATTCATTGTATATTAGTTTCTATTTTGGGTTGGCCGATGATACCTACTCAGTACGTGTTCCTTGTACTGACCCCTACTTGTGTTTTCTTCGTTTTTCTTTTGTGGAATGCAGCAAGTGTACCATCAATTTCGACTCGCCCTCAGCTCTAGCCAGTCTCCAGCACATCAGATTTCAGGGTGAGCTATTCCTTCTAGCTCGTGCTGGATTCTCTCAGTTATGGTGTGATGTCCTTGAATTTCGGACATGGACCATCGTATTTACTTATTTTGGGGTCTCTAATACTTTTAGACTTGATATGTTAAGAGCAGATGTCCTTGATGTGATGACTTTCAGATTTTGGGGATAATATGTAATAGACTTTAGAGGTTTATTTGATTGGTTACTTTAATAAGTTTTGGAGCTTCCGCGTTATTGTTGTTAGTCGTAGTTAAATTATTAGTATATGTTGGGGTTTAGATTCCTTGGTCCGCCCACTTAAGAGGTGAAGTGTGGGTGCCACTCATGACTCAATTTGGGTCGTGACAGTTAGGATGGAAGAAATCTTTAGCCTACCTTCCGGCTGGCAGTGAAAATGACTGGACGACAACGTTTCACATTGCAGCTAGTGAAGGTGATATGTTGATGATATTTGAGTTATTAAGCCACTGCCCAGATTGTTGGGAAATGCTTAATAGCAATGGTCAAAATGCACTTCATGTTGCCTTATTAAACGGTCACGAAATGTTCGTCTCTGTCTTCTATGGGTCTGGATTTTGTAATAGCCTTGTTGATGAGGCAGATAATGAAGGCAATACTCCACTCCATTCGCTTGCTGCCTCTGGGGACAATGTGCCGCAAATGATATTAGACCATCCTAGAGCAAAGAAGATGGCATTTAACAAACAAAATCAGACTCCACTTGACATAGCATTGTCTCGCACATGGACAACAAAGAAGGTACTCCCTCTTGTCCGTGACGGTTTTCCCTCACTTCTGTTGAATTTTGTGTCGAATATCATGCAATCTTGATGGGTGGTTTCAATTTGGTTGGTTTTTGCACTGCTTTAGTAGTGATCTTTATTGAGTAAGGGTGCTTTGTCATGATTCCTTCATTTCTGTTATTAAACTGCTTTGATCCGTTTTTCATTGAGTCGGGGGTCTATCGGAAACAACATTTCTACCTCCATGGTAGGGATAAGGTCTGAATACACCTACCTCTGGAGTAGGGATTACACTGAGTATATTCTTGTTGTTGTTGTTGGTAAAGATAAAAACTAGAGTAACAATGAATCATATCTTGTGTTTTTTAAAATGACAGTCTATCGATTTTTAGTAAGAACGAAAATAAAATGAACCGAAGGATGCAGTTATTAATTCCACTTTTTCTCAAGTACTATTATATTATACACTATATCTTTCACCAGCTAGCTGATCAATTTTATTACTACATGTCACATATATTAGGAGAAATTGGTACGTGATTTTTGCAGCATAAATGGACAATTGGTACAACGTGACTTCATGGTAAAACGGAAAGCGGAACCAATCGGGAACATACAACAGATGAAGGAGGATGATGATGACAAAGCTAAAAGAGTCAAAATAGAAATCGAAAAATTTATAAGGTCAACTCAACTACATGTAGTTGTAGCTACTCTAATAATGACAGTCACGTTCGCAACTGGTTTCACATTACCAGGAGGTTTAGACAGCAATGACGGTCCTAATAGAGGGATGGCAATTCTATTAAAGAGAGCAGCGTTCCGTGCATTTGTTATTTCGGATGTCCTGGCATTTTCATGTTCAGCTACTGCTATATTCATCTATTTCTTCATGGCAGATATGGATACAGACTACCATGAACAACCTAAATGGGACTGGTTCAAAATATTTCAGAGGAGCTATAATATAGCAAGTTATTTGCAACTTTTGGCAATTTGTGCAGTTGTAGTTGCATTTGTAACTGGTATGTATGCTACTTTAGAAAATTCACTTGCTCTTGCTGTTAGTGTTTGTGTCATTGGTTGTGTCTCTTTGCTTATGTACTTTCCGATTATCATTTGGGTATAGCTAGGAGAGGTGTGCTTACTAGTAGTACTCGAACGACGTACATAACCTTAATTTGAGGTAATCAGGTGTGCTTAGCATTCGAGCAAGTCTCTGTTGTCTAATATAGATAGGAGATCAAACTTAATACTATTTTTTCCTTCATGTATAGAGACACATGATTGTGATTTGTGAATGATACTATTTGTTCTAGCATGATTTGCTAGACTTATTTTTCCCATTCCTCTTGTTATTGTTTCGAAATGAAGTAAATCAATTTGTGATTTATCAACACGTCTATATTTATTCAACAAGATCCAATATTTAGCTTGATTTCTTTAGGAGGCAATGTATGTAGCCATGTGTTTGTCTAAAAAAGTGTACCATGAGTCTATTTACTTGAGTGTATAAATTGTACTTAGAACTTTAGGACTCTTGTGTGAATAAGTAAAGCATGATGAAATCTTCAAGTAATATAGATCTATTCCCTTCTCGAGCCGTGTAATTTTACATGATATCAGAGCTCTAAACATAGAAGCTACGTTGTACAAATTTCTATCCAAAAACAATGGCCTCTAGTTCCCTTTAACCCTCCTTGTCTCTTTTCGCCTCTGCCCTGCATCATCTCATGGTTGTTTGTCCTATTATCTCTAGGGACGTAAGTTTAACGACTTGGATCGATGTTAAGCAAAGGACACTTCAAAGTGAAATGAAAGTCACCAACCTAGGCCATGGGCCTTATTGATCGCTCACCAACCTATATCATTTTTGATAATGTGATAAGTCACTTATCTTTTGTTATTATTTTTTTTAAAAGGCCATGCAAGGCGAAAATTAATACATTCAGCCACTTTACTTTAATTTTTAAGCCAAAAAAATAAATATTAAACCCAATTGATCATTTTAACCAAAAATCACCTAACCACCCCATGGGGCGGACCTACGTGGGTGTCAGGGGTTCATTTGAACACTCTCGTCAAAAAATTACACAATATATATAAGATAAATTTTCTGTATTTAATTTTGAACTCCCTCACAAACAAGAAGTAAAGAGTGGCGTAGTGTAGACCTCTTTAAATTGACTCTCATGTTTAGGGTTCAAATCCCATTTTGAACATTATATTTTTAGCTTCTCTTCATTTAATTTTGGGAACAATCTTTCACTTTTTTTATTATTATAAAAAATAAAGTGCTAAAATAATATATTTAAACCCAAATAATCCTAAGGGTCCATTCCAAAAGGCTAAAAATCACTTTTCATCTTCCCAAATCCCTAAATCAGTTCATTAGTTCTTCCCCCAAGACTCAAGAGCCAAATATTAAATCACTTTTCAGGTCTCTTCCAATGGAACTAACTTTCTGTATCTATAAACTATATACTACTACTTTCTTGGAATTGTGTTTTGTTGGTTTATCCGCACATTTATACTTTTATTATTTTTCGAACCCCTGAATGAAAATTCTAGATCCGCCACTCGCCCACCCAATATTTGACCGGTAATCTCCTTTATACATTGATAAACACAAGGCTAAAAACGTCCAAATTGACAAGTCAAAATTAATTAAATTCATATAACTACAAGTAAGGTTGTTCATGGTTATGGTTAAAAAAATCAGACCGAACCATGTGCAAGTCGAACCAAACCGATTAGAAAAACTGATATTTGGTTTGGTTTGATTTTAAATTTTGAAAACCAATACTATTTGGTTTGGTTTTGATTTTACTAAAAAATAACTGCAAAAAAAACCAAACCAAACCGATAAATTAGATATATAAATTTGTAATTATTTATATATTATTCATAAATAAAATATAGATATTTTGTTAAATTTAATGAACTTAGTCTTTTAACTTTACCATTTTCTCAAGTCCAACACTTAAATTCTAGTCCAACTATTACAATCCTAAGTCCAAGTTCATCAAAATCCATTACTTTAAGGGGTCGTTTGCAAGGCCGGCTCTTGCCTTGGTAAAATAAGGCTCATGCCTTAGGCTCCCAAATTTTTAACAAAAATAAATTATGTGTTAAAATGTTTATATAAAAATTATTTCAAAAAAAATGTTTATAGAAAAAAATGATTATTTATGATAAAAAGTATATATTTTTTAAAATGATATTATTTTACTCAGTTTAACATATGTTGTCCTTTGTTAAAAATAAGAATTAATAGTGAAAAGTATTGAACAAAGCGAATTACAAATTCTTTTTTATTTCGTTTCAAGCATTACAACAGACTTATAAAAATGGGGTAAATCAAGTCATCATCTTCTTGAATAAGATTCTATGGTTTTCACTCTTATCTTTATTTAATATTTGTCATCTTTACTTATAGAATTATGTTAACCATTCATATAATAATTACACCACTGCAAGTATTACTAATACATTCTATTAAGCATTATTAATACGGAAAAGGGTAAAAAATACCCTTAAACTATTCGAAATAGATCATATTTACCCTTAAATTATATTTCAGCTCAAACTACCCTTTCCGTCAAACTATTGGGTCAAAAGTGCCCTTCTTATTAACGGAAGTTGTTAAATGCCATGTGGATGCCGGTGCAGCGATTTAAAAAAAAAACAAATTTAACAAATTCGCTGCCTTAGCAGCGATTTTAAGAGAAAAACAATTTTTAAAAAATCGACAAAATCGCTGCTGGGCAGCGATTTTTGTTTATTTTAATGGAGTAGACGGAGTTAATTTTCTTCGAAGGATATCGCTCTCTCAGGAGCGATTTTACCCTTTTGGTTAAAAAATAAAATTGACGTGCCCTTTTGAAATTTTTGACAATTTTTTTTATCCTTTTGGCTCCGGACTCCTAAATTAATAGATAGTACTAAATTATGTTGGAACTGCTATGAAGTGAAGATCAATTTAAGATTCAAAAGTTTATGAGCTTTGCATAAATTTCAAGTTAGTATCACAATAATAATTGATTTCTTAATTAAATATTTATAAATATTTAATTTATATATTTGGACAAAAATTATTAAATTTATATGAAATCGTAACTGAGCTTCTATATCCTCCCCAAATTACTATATAATTTATTTCTTCTAGGAGATGAAATTAAATAATACCAAGTTGGATGATTAAGATGGAATATTTAGGATAAAAGTTGAGATTAAATGTATACCTTCAATCAAAAAATATAATTTTAATCATTAGATATTTTAAGATAATTAGATCCAAAGTATATTGAATTATTGATGAGTGTAGTTCATTTTTATTAATATTTTTTACTTATATATATATAGAGACAATATAACTTTTTGTCATCATCATTGGATATTATAACTTGTAGCAGGATACTTTTTAAAAAAAAGTAATATCAAACACTTTTGGAAGGAGTGGAGAGGGGGCGAAGTCTGAATTTTTTAAAAATACATTATAAATAAAATTGAAAAAATAGAAGGACGGGGTTATTGGGGGGGGGGGGGGGTAGGAGAATAGTTATACTTTATAATTTAGTTTTTAACTAATATTGATAGTTTATTTAATTTTTATCAAAGTGAAATGCTATGTCTATGTGGTAAAATTTTGCAAATAAAAGAAAGAGTGTATTACTTAGATGTGTTTCTCAAACTGATAAGTGATAATTTAGGTATAAAACTTTTTCTAGCCAATAATAGTATGTCACGTGTGTAAACATGCATAAAAATTCCCTTGAGTCATAAAGTGTGAGAATGGTATAAGAAATTATTGTTCTCTCTTTATGTTATGTTCTTACCAACTAAGGAGTCAAAGAATCTTTGTTGGGTTTTAGACTTGCAGAGAAACAAGAAGAACAAAATACCTACAAGGGGTTAAAAACTGGTCTTTTGGATTTTATCCATCAAAGAAAAAAAAGGTATGTTGAAGAGCTACCTACCTAATCAAATCTTTCTTTAGTATTACAGTTTTCCCATGTTTGTGTTTTACCTAAATCCTCATTTTTTCCATTTGGGGTTTGCTTTTTGTGAATGAATATGAGTTAAAGATTGGATTTTTAGTACATGGTGTTGATAAAGATTGTGTTTTTATCTTGGAGTAAGAAAATGTGTATATTTATCTTTGTTGTGTAGTATTTCCTCTTTTTTGATTTGTCTGTCTAATTTAATTTGTCGACATTTAAGTAAATAAATAAAGACTTTTAAATCTTGTGCTATTAAACTAAAGATCCATGTTGTAGAATATATGAAAATGTTGTGAAAATTTTGAATTAATGAACTGCTAAAGAAAAAAGAAAAAAATATTTTCTTTTAAATGGACTTGAAAGGAAAATTAGAAAAATCAATTGAAACTGAGTACCATTTTACTTTCAGAATGCCCTCTAGTAAGATTCTCTTACTTGATTCAGATTGTTGCTCTTATTTTTGGATGTTATGCATAATTTCTTTTGGTACATTAGAAAGAAAAATAAACTCAATAAAAAATTTAAAGTGTTCATAACCAATATGCTTAAGTTCGCTATGTACGTGTACCTGAACGTATTAATGAGTATGTAAGTTTTAATTTTTTTGGATAAATGCAATATAACAATGCTTTTGACTTAAGTAGATACTTTATTTGTCTAAATTTATGTGACATTGTTTGATCAGACACAGAATTTAAGAAATAAGGGAAGACTTCATTTGTCTAAATTTATGTGACATTGTTTGATCGGACACAGAATTTAAGAAATAAGGGAAGACTTTTGTGACACCTTGGATATCCACACATAATGGATCCAAGAATGTACAATGCTGCAAAGAAAGGGAGTACAATGCTGCAAAGAAAGGGATTACTATGGAAGATGGTGATTTTTCAGTTGTTGATTATCTGAAAAGGGAGGAAGAAAATGGTTACCAAGTCACTCCAAAGGGAAATACAATCCTTCATGTGGCAGCTCTCTTTGGCCAACGAGGTTTCGTGGGAAAAGTCCTTAAGATTACCCGGCATTATTATGCTATAAGAATAAGAAAAATGAAACTGCGCCTCACATTGCAGCTAATGTAGGACAAAGTGGAGTGGTAAGTGAACTACTTTGCTTTGAAGGAGTGGAGACACTCGTGAGGATGGATGACATTGGAGATACGGCCTTGCACAAGGCCGTGAGAGGTGGACACACTGACATTGTCTGGATGTTGGTGAAATTATTACTAGATCCTGAACATGACTTCCCAGCCAAGAAGGCTGGGGAGACACCGCTTTATTTGGCAGCGGAGTCTGGTTTTCATGATGCTTTGATTAAAATCTTGAACGTTTACAAAGAACCAACTTATGTTGCAGGTCCATCCAATCGAACACCTCTACATGCAGCTGTAATTAAAGAACACACAGGTAAGTACCTTCTGGATGATTTCATCATATATAATATGGAAAATAATTAAATTTGTCCCTCTACTAATAGAAAGAAACTATATTTGTGTTTGGTTAAAAAAAATTCAATAAATATACTCCTACAGGCATACTTTATGATCTAGTTAAACCAAAAAATCATCCATTTATCATCATATATCATATATAATATTTGACTAAAATATCTAGAATGCGCGAGATCACTATGGCAATGGAGTAAACCTTTATGCGAAGAAGCTGATAAATGGGGTTGGAATTCACTGCACTATGCTGTTAAACAAGGATTGAAAGAAATAATTTCCGATATGTTGGGATGGAAGAAATCTTTAGCCTACCTTCCGGCTGGCAGTGAAAATGATTGGACGACAGCATTTCACATTGCAGCTAGTGAAGGTGATGTATTGATGATATATGATTTATTAAACCACTGCCCAGATTGTTGGGAAATGCTTAATTGCAATGGCCAAAATGCACTTCATGTTGCCTTATTGAACTATCACGAAATGTTTGTCCATGCCTTCCTTGGGTCTGGAATTTGTGATAGCCTTGTTGATGAGGCAGATAATGAGGGCAATACTCCACTCCATTTGCTTGCTGCCTCTGGGAACCGTGTGCCTCAAATGATATTAGACCATCCTAGCGCAAAGAAGATGATATTTAACAAACAAAATCAGACTCCACTTGACATAGCATTGTCTCGTACATGGACAATAAAGAAGGTACTCCCTCTTGTCCATGACGGACTGGATCGGTTTTCCCCATATCTTTGAACTGGCTCAGTCCGTTGGTTTCCTTTTTTTTTTTGTTAATCAACAATGTAAATAAGATTAGCAAAAATTACAGAATTAGAGGGGGACATGGCAACCTAACCTCTAGACACAAAAAGAGAGCATACAGAGGAGTTAATGCTCCAAAGAGATCTTGTCTAAGACTAAGAGTTCTGGCACATTGAATTGCTATAGAAGTAATCAGTAGCTTTAGCCTAAACATACTGGCATCTACAAAACAGTGTTTTTTTGCTCGTTTTCGAGAGGACGGGAGCTGGATCTTACCATTCAAAGGGGGCCAATAGCCTCGTTAGGAAGATCTTCTTTTATGTATGAAAATTTTATCTTCTTAAAGGGTGGTGGCATGCTTCGCAAGAGCATCTGCAACTCCATTACTTTCTCTATAGTAGTGACTAATCGTGCTTTCCTTTGGTTGGTTCTTGCACTGCTTTAGTAGTGATATTTATTGAGTAATGGTAAAGATTAAAACTGTTCACCAGCATGCTTTGTCATGATTCCTTTATTTCTGTTATTGGACTGCTTTGATCTGTTTTTCATTGAGTCGAGGGTTCTATCGGAAACAACTTCTCTACCTCCAGGTAGGGATCATAAGGTCTGCATACACCTACCTCTGGAGTAGGGATTACACTGAGTATATTCTTCTTGTTGTTGGTAAAGATGTTTTCTAAAATGACAACTATTTTCGACTATCTATTTTTAGTAATGACGAAAATAAAATGAACTAGAAGGAGTAGTTATTAATTCATCTTTTTCTCAAGTAGCATTATATTATCTTTCACCAGCTGACCAACTTTGTTACTACATTTCACATCTTAGGAGAAATTGGTAGGCGATTTGTGCAGCATAAATGGACGATTGGGACAACGTGACTTCAAGGTAAAACGGAAAACAGAAACGATTGGTAACATACGACAGATTAGGAAGGAGGATGATCAGGACAAAGCTAAGAGAGACAAAATAGAAATAGAAAAATTTATGAAGGCAGCTCAAATACAAGTAGTTGTAGCTACTCTCCTAATGACAGTCACTTTCGCAGCTGGCTTCACATTGCCAGGAGGTTTATACAACGATGACAGTCCTAATAAAGGGATGGCGATTCTATTAAGAAAAACAGCGTTTCGTGCATTTGTTATTTCAGATGTCCTGGCATTTTCATTCTCAGCTGGTGCTATATTCATCTACTTCTTCATGGCAGATTGTGATGTAGACGGAGAGGAAGAATGTAAACGGGACTGGTTCAAAGTTTTAAGGAGTTATTATTATATAGCAGGTATTTTGCAACTTTTGGCAATGGGTGCTGTTGTAATTGCATTTGTAACTGGTATGTATGCTACTTTAGCAAATTCACTTGCTCTTGCTGTTACTGTTTGTGTCATTGGTTGTGTCTCTTTTGTTATGTACTTTTGGATTATCATTTGGGTATAGAAAACCAAGAAGAAACTCTTAAGAGCTCTTGCTTTTTAGGCCTATTGAGCCAACAAACATACTTTGTAGTCATGCCCAAGTTGCCACCAAATATGTATTAATTTATGGTTAGATTATATGATCTAGTATAAATATTGAGTGCTAAATAAGTACTTCTTTCTATGTTCAAGTTTATTTATTGAATTTGTATTAAACTTTGAAAATTCTAGAATGGTAATTATTCTCCAAACTATGGTTGTGTATGAAATTTTCTTTTTTTCAAAAATTAAAGACTCTTAACTTAAACTAGACTAGATGAAAAAACATTATTTTGAGAACTTTACTATTCATGTTTTAGAAATCAAACTATTCAAGACTTCTTTTTTTTTTGTTTATAATTTTCTTTTTTCCTCAAATAAAACCTACTAAAATAAAAGGTCAAAATGTCAAGATTAGACAGAAATATATATTTTGTAAATCTTGGGTTCCATAAAAAATTAAATATTCATAATCACATCGTCCTATATTAACAAGTCTTCTTCATTTATGGACTTCATTTGTCAGATAACCTACCTATTTGTTTGCTTCTCTCCGGATATGGATGATATTCATCTTGGTGGCATCAAGTAAATACTTGCAATCTCTTATGACGTCCATTCTTTTATGCGGAAATAATCTCTTTTGACCAATTACAATTTGGATAGAAAAAAATGACCGCGTTTAAATATTTTATATATAGAAAATAAAGATCCATCACAAAAGAAACATAAAACTAAAAACAAATTTTGGACTATTTTCTTTGTCCTTTTTTATTGCGTAATATTTTACTTCCTCTCTGTCTCAGTCCCTTCTCTATCATCATAATCCAATGGTTGTTAATTGTTATCCTTGAGACTTGAAGTGGGTCCATCCTATCAATTTCCTAGCCAATAGTAATATGCCACGTGTATGAACATGTGATAATTAAGGCAACATCAAAATTCCCTAATTGAGTCATAAAGTGTGAGAATGCCATAAGAAATTATTGTATTATGTTATGTTCTTACCAACTAAGGAATCAAAGAATCTTTGTTGGGTTTTAGCGTTGTAGAGAAAAGAAGAAAAAAACACCTATAAGGGTTAAACTGGTCTTTTATATTTTATCAATCAAAGAAAAAAAAGGTATGTTGAAGAGCTACCTAATCAAATCTTTCTTTCGTTTTACTGTTTTCCCATGTTGGGTTTTACCGAAATACTCATTTTTTGCATGTGGGGTTTACTTTTGGTGAATGAATATGAGTTAAAGATGGGATTTTTAGTACATAGTGTTGAAAAAAGATAGTGTTTTTATCTTGGAGTGAGAAAATGTGTATTTATCTTTATTGTGTACTATTTCCTCTTTTCTAATTTGTTTGTGTTACTTTAATTTGTCGAAGTTTAAGAAAATAAATAAGACGTTTGAATCTTGTGTTATTAATGTTGTAGAACGTATGAAAATGTCATTTAATTTCTCTTACTTGAAAAAAAGCTGAGGTTTTTTCCCCTTTGAAATTTCAGTTTGAGTCATTGGTTGGTAACTACTGGACTTAACTTTTGCAATCTCCTTTCTTAATTTAGATTGTTGATCTTATTTTTGGATGTTATGCATAATTTCTTTTGGTACATTGGAAAGAAGAATAAACAACATAATTTTTTTTTAAAGTTGTTCATAACCAATATGCTTAAGTTCGCTAGGAGAAGAAACTTTATGTTCTTAATAGTACTAGTTTCTGGCAGCGTGCGTTGCACGTTTATCCCTTACTATTGTTATATAATTTAAAAATGTGTTATATATCAAATAGAAAATGCTTAAATCAACAATATTAATTTTACCAATTACATTTCATGTATTAAATAAAATACATAAAAAGGGATTGAGCATTTGGCATCAAACAAGTATGTGAAATTAATTAAGATAATATAGTCTCTTAACTCTGTGTCACTGTGTGTGTGTCTTTTTTATGAACTAAATATCATTGATAACCTTTTATAGCCATGAATGGATTAAAAAAAATCATGCAGGCTTATTGACAAGATTGCCTATTTTATTTTAATGAGAAACGGAGCGTGAAATATTTGTATTATTTAAGTAAAATTTTAGAATTAAAAGGCTAATCAAAGAATACATGAAGATACACTTTCAAAATTTTACAAGATTAAAAAGCAATTACATCCAAAATATAAAAGTGACAGATAAAGAATTAACAAACTAGACTTCATACATACAACTATTCCAAAAGCTCATAATAATAGCTAAAAGATCACAACACCACAATGAGTTCATTAGAAATGCAAAAGAAATTATAAAAAAAACAATAATCTTCCTAATGGAGAATCGAAAGAGATATGAGGACTTAGGCATATCTAAAAAGAAGTCTTCTCCCATGTATTCTATTTACTCCTTTATACCATTCTTCCTATCTTTTTTGCCTATCATATATAGATGCGATAGTTTTTTTGATTATCCTCTTTTCAAGTTGAATGACATGAGTTTCTTTCATTTTTCAATGGTTATCATTTCGTTCTTAAATAGTAGTGAAAATGTCTGTTCAAATTCCATTTTCAGTTCTAAATAATAATCTTTTAATATATAGATGGGAAGATGAAAAATACAAATCATAATTAGACTAAGTAAGAGAATTAACATTGCCACTAATTACTACTCTGAACAGGAAATCTAGTCTAGTTTGAATGGATAAGAAGATGAAAAGTATAAATCATTAAATTAGTAATAAATAAGGCAATTACAAACCATCTCATTAATTATTAATTTGATATTAATTCATTCATATATAATAATACACTTTTAATACCTTAGTAATAAATCAAATAAATAAAATCAGTAGCATTAATCGGGTAAATGAGGGGTCTTTTCATATACCAGTAATTATTCTAGGCCATATATACATGTACAATTGATATTATCTAAAAATATATCTTTTCACATTCCAAGCATTTAATTATTTGCTTAGTCCTTTGAGTTTCTTCTGCTAATATCATTTATGGATAATGTCTAATCTATACTTCATATAAGTAGAGAAAAGTGTTAAATCACTTGATAATTTTTCTCTTTCTTTGTCAGAAATTTCCTTTAATTCTTACTCCTAGAATTCAGCCTTGAGAACGTTGGAATACAAAATTTACTTTAAATTTTTTTTTAACAGCAGATGATTAAAACAAAAAACTGCACATCTTTAGAAAATGTGGAGCATTAATATAGAAATGCAAGTAAACCTAGAAATAGGGCTGTTTAACTTCTTATGTAATCTCCCTAAAATGTGTAATTAAGTCTTCAAACTTTTAAAATTTTACTATAAACTCTTGAGGTAATTTTAATTTTACTATTTACTGTTAAATTAATTAGATGTTTGATTATTAACTCACCCTAGAACGTGTATTTAGTTTTAGTTAATTTAAATTTTACTATTTATTATTTAATTAATTAAATGTTTGATTTAGTGTAGGGGTAAAATGGTAATCTAATTTTTCACTTTTGAAGCTTCCCACTTATAATAATATATGATTACAGGGCCTCTTCATGATTGTGATTCTCCATAAACAAGTAGTCTCTGGATATACATATTAATGAGTAGATAAAGTGATACCTGAACTTGTTTCGAATTTTCAAAAATATACCTTAATTATGAGGGCGCCCTATTACCCCACTAAACAATCTTGAATTGATATTATTACATCAATTTTTTGTCCACTTCACAAAGAGAGTGTGTGCACTCTCTCAAAGAGAGTGAACAACCTAAAATAACTAATATAATTTTATTTTTACAAGTATTTTATTATAAAATATGTTTTCTTATTTTTCTTATTATTTTAACTTTTTTTCCTTTTTATTTTTTCTCTTTCTTTCTTCTTCAAAAATTCATTGTCATTTTCATTGAAACTTCTCACTTTCAATGTCACCATTTTTACCACAACTTCACCCTTATTTTTTTTTACTACTATTAGTTTTACTCTCTTTAATTTTAAAACTTTATCTAAATATTTTCTTACATTTCGAACAATTTGATAACCCATTAGATTTCAAGATGATTAGGAAATATCATATAATTTTTTTTTTATCCGATTTCAATTAAGTCCTTTCAATTTTGGGAAATTCATTGATTCTTTTAAAAGTTATATGAAAATGAGTAATTGATGATACCTTCAAAATTTTAAATTTTCTTAGAAAAATAATTAGTTTTGTTATCAATAATTCAATAAAGTCTAGAAAATAGTATGATTTTTTTTTTATATAAAAAAAATCAATAAAATAAAGAATTTGATTGGAGAAGAAGAAGAAAAAAAAGAAAAAAATGGAAGAGAATTCAACTTGACGTTGGGCGTGGGGTGAGGATGAGAGGTGAAGAAAAAGAAAGAAAATGGATGAATGAATCACTTGAAAGTGTGTGTGGGGGTGGGGGTGAAAGATGAAGTGAAATTTTAGATGAAATCAAAATTAAAATAAGTCAAAAGTAAGAGAGAGAGAAAAGGTAAAGAAAAAACTTAAAATGAAAAAAATATATTTTAAATTAAATTAACACGTGTCATGTAATGATTGGTGTGTGAACACACTTGCTTCTTAAAATCTGAGGCTGATCGAAAAATAATATAATAATATCTGTTCAAAATTGTTTAGTAGGGTAATAAGACGGTTGCAAAGTTAAGATATTGTTTTGAAAATTCGGGACAAGTTAAATAGTGAATTTATGTCTTTTCTCTTTTAAAAAATTGCATAAATGCAATATAACAATGCTTTTGACTTAACTAGATACTTCATTTGTCTCACATAACAGAAACAAGGAACTTTTGTGACACCTTGGATATCCACACATAATGGATCCAAGAATGTACAATGCTGCAAAGAAAGGGAGTACTATGGAAGATGGTGATTTTTCACTTGTTGATTATCTGAAAAGGGAGGAAGAAAATGGTTACCAAGTCACTCCAAAGGGAAATACAATCCTCCATGTGGCAGCTCTCTTTGGCCAACGAGGTTTCGTGGGAAAAGTCCTTAAGATTACCCCGGTATTATTATGCTATAAGAATAAGAAAAATGAAACTGCGCTTCACATTGCAGCTAATTTAGGACGAAGTGAAGTGGTGAGTGAACTACTTAGCTTAGGAGGAGAGGAGACAATACTCGTTAGGATGACGGATGATATTGGAGATACGGCCTTGCACAAGGCCGTGAGAAGTGGACACATTGACATTGTCAGGATGTTGATGAAATTATTACTAGATCCTGAACACGACTTCCCAGCAAATAAGGCTGAGGAGACACCACTTTATTTGGCTGCAGAGTCTGGTTTTCATGATGCTTTGATAGAAATCTTGAACGTTTGCAAGGAACCAACTTATGTTACAGGTCCATCCAATCGAACTCCTCTACATGCAGCCATAATTCAAGAACACACGGGTGAGTACCTCCTGGATGATTTCATCATATATAATATGGAAAATGATTAAATTTGTCCCTCTACCAATAAAAAGAAGCTACATTTGCCTTTGGTTAAATTTATTTCAATAAATATACTGCTACAGTCATACTTTATGATCTTGTTGAACGGAAAAATCATCCATTTATCATCATCATATATAATATTTGACATATATATCCAGAATGCGTGAGATCACTATGGCAATGGAATAAACCTTTATGCGAAGAACTTGATAGATGGGGTTGGAATTCACTACACTATGCTGTTAAACAAGGATTGAAACAAATAGTTTCAGATATGTTGGGATGGAAGAAATCTTTAGCCTACCTTCCGGCTGGCAGTGAAAATGACTGGACGACAACGTTTCACATTGCAGCTAGTGAAGGTGATATGTTGATGATATATGTGTTATTAAACCGCTGCCCAGATTGTTGGGAAATGCTTAATAGCAATGGTCAAAATGCACTTCATGTTGCCTTATTGAACGGTCACGAAATGTTCGTCTCTGTCTTCTATGGGTCTGCATTTTGTAATAGCCTTGTTGATGAGGCAGATAATGAAGGCAATACTCCACTCCATTTGCTTGCTGCCTCTGGGGACAATGTGCCGCAAATGATATTAGACAATCCTAGAGCAAAGAAGATGGCATTTAACAAACAAAATCAGACTCCACTTGACATAGCATTGTCTCGCACATGGACAAGAAAGAAGGTACTCCCTCTTGTCCGTGACGGTTTTCCCTCACTTCTTTGGACTGAATCAGTCCGTCAGTTTTTTAAAAATTAACCATGTAAATAAGATTAGCAAAAATTACAGAATCAAAGGGAACCATAGCCTGACAAAGGGTTCGGTCCAATTTGGACACCCATTCAGGAGGTGCCAAACAAACCCATCATTGATTTGAGATCTTGATTAGGTGAATACCTGGTCTTTGCAATCAATGCTAGGCATAATGAGTATAAGCACCTCAAAAAAAATCTCTTTTTGTCGTATGAACTTTAAGGTGTATGAAGTTTCATATTTGATTTTTTAAGCAGAATGATAGGACATATGGCAACCTAAGTGGAATTAATGCTCCTAAGAGAGAGTTCTGGCACATTGAAGTGCTATAAACCTAGAAGTCACCAGTATCTTTAGCCTAAACATACTGGCATCTACAAAAGTAGGAGAATCACGGGGGCTCGTAGTGACAAGAAGAGTGTTTTTTGGCTCGTCTTCGAGAGACGGGAGCTGCATCTTACCCATTCAAAGGGGGCCAATAGCCTCCTTAGGAAGGTAGGAAAGTTTTATCTTCTTGAAGGGTGGTGGCATGCTTCGCAAGAGCATCCTCAATTCCATTACTTTCTCTATAATAATGACTAATGCTGACATCTTCTGTTGAATTTTGTGTCGAATATCATGCAATCTTGATGGGTGGTTTCAATTTGGTTGGTTTTTGCACTGCTTTAGTAGTGATCTTTATTGAGTAAGGGTGCTTTGTCATGATTCCTTCATTTCTGTTATTAAACTGCTTTGATCCGTTTTTCATTGAGTCGGGGGTCTATCGGAAACAACATTTCTACCTCCATGGTAGGGATAAGGTCTGAATACACCTACCTCCGGAGTAGGGATTACACCGAGTATATTCTTCTTGTTGTTGGTAAAGATAAAAACTAGAGTAACAATGAATCATGTCTTGTATTTTCTAAAATGACAGTTCATCTATTTTTAAGAAGAACGAAAATAAAATGAACCGAAGGATGCAGTTATTAATTCCACTTTTTCTCAAGGACTATTATATTATACACTATATCTTTCACCATCTAGCTGATCAATTTTATTACTACATGTCACATATATTAGGAGAAATTGGTACGCGATATTTGCAGCATAAATGGACAATTGGGACAACGTGACTTCATGGTAAAACGGAAAGCGGAACCAATCGGGAACATACAACAGATGAAGGAGGATGATGATGACAAAGCTAAGAGAGTCAAAATAGAAATCGAAAAATTTATAAAGTCATCTCAACTACATGTAGTTGTAGCTACTCTAATAATGACAGTCACGTTCGCAGCTGGTTTCACATTACCAGGAGGTTTATACAGCGATGACAGTCCTAATAAAGGGATGGCGATTCTATTAAAGAGAGCAGCGTTCTGTGCATTTGTTATTTCGGATGTCCTGGCATTTTCATGTTCAGCTGGTGCTATATTCATCTATTTCTTCCTGGCAAATATGGATACAGAGTACGATGAAGAACCTAAACGGGACTGGTTCAAAAGTTTTCGGAGGAGCTATATTATAGCAGGTAATTTGCAACTTTGGGCAATGGCTGCAGTTGTAGTTGCATTTGTAACTGGTATGTATGCTACTTTAGAAAATTCACTTGCTCTTGCTGTTAGTGTTTGTGTCATTGGTTCTGTTTCTTTTCTTATGTACTTTTCGATTTTCTTTTGGGTATAGCTAGGAGAGCTGTGCTTACTAGTAGTACTCGAACAACGTACATAACCTTAATTTGAGGTGTTCAGGTGTGCTTACCATTCGAGCAACTCTTTGTTGTCTAATATAGCGCTGCTAGGAGATCAAACTTGATACTATTTTTTCCTTCATGTATAGAGACACGCGATTGTGAATACTACTATTTGTTCTAGCATGATTTGCTTGACTTATTTTTCCCATTCCTCTTGTTATGTTTCGAAATGAAGTAAATCGATTTGTGATTTATCAACACGTCTATATTTATTCAACAAGATCCAATAATTAGCTTGATATGTAGCCATGTGTTTGTCTAAAAAAGTGTACCATGAGTCTATTTACTTTAGTGTATTTATTGTACTATTGTAGGTAGAGCTTTAGCACTCTTGCGTGAATAAGTAAAGCATGATGAAATCTTCAAGTTATATAGATCTATCCCCTTTTCAGGCCGTGTAATTTTACATGATATCAGAGCTTTAAACATAGAAGCTACGTTGTACAAATTTCTATCCAAAAACAATGGCCTCTAGTTCCCTTTAACCCTCCTTGTCTCTTTTAGCCTCTGCCCTGCATCATCTCATGGTTGTTTGTTCTGTCATCTCTAGGGCCCTATTATCACAAATTATGACGTAAGTTTAATGACTTGGGTCGATCTTAAGCAAACCACACTCCAAAGTGAAATGGAAGTCATCAACCTAGGCCATGGGCCTTACTGATCACTGACCAACCTAAATTATTTATGTAATGTGATAAATCATTTATCTTTTGTTATTTTTTAAAAAGGCCATTCAAGGTGGAAATTAATACATTCAGCCACTTTACCTTAGGTTTTAAGCCAAAAATAAAATAAAAATTAAAACCCAATTGAACATTTTAACCAAAAATCACCTGTATATATAAGATAAATTTTATGTATTTAATTTTGAACCCCCTCACAAACAAGAAGTAAAGAGTGGGTGGTAGATCTCTTTAATAATTGACTCTCACGTTTTGTGGCTCAAATCCCATTGTGAACAATGAACATTATATTTTTAGCTTCTCTTCATTTAATTTTGGGAACAATCTTCACATATTTTTATTATTATAAAAAAAGTGCTAAAATGATATATTTAAACCCAAAAAAATCGAAGGGTCCATTCCCAAAGGCTAACAATAGTTGTATAGTGGACAACTACTGTTGGATGAGGGAAATATATACTACTACTTTCTAGGAATTGGGTTTTGTAACTTTGTTGGCTTATCCGTACATTTATACTTTTATTATTTTTTGAATCCCTAAATGAAAATTCTGAATCCGTCACTGACCCACCCAATATTTGACTGGTAAGCTCCTTTATGCATTGATAAACACAAGGGTTAAAAAGGTCCAAATTGACAAGTTAAAATCAATTAAATTCATATAACTACAAGGTTCTAATTCGAATTTTGCTGGTAGCATCTAATTTATTAAATTAGATATGTTCATTATCACCTCGTCCCATATTAACAAGTCTTCTTCATTTGCCAGAAAATCAACATACGTAGTTGTTTGTTTTTCTCCAGATATGAATGAAATTCATTTTGGTGACTTCAAGCAAATACTTATAATTTCTTATAACGTTTTATTCTTTTACGTGAAAATAATTTTTTATGATCACTTACAAATTGAATTTAAAAAAAAATATTTTTTATATCTTTAATATATAAAAATAAAGATATATCGTAAAAACTTAAAACTAAAAATAAATTTGCACGATTTTGTCCTCTTGATTACTCTGATTTTTTTGCTTCTCTAGTTCACTCCCTTTCTCTATCATCATACTCCGACGGCTGTTAACTTCGAGACTTGAAGTGGGTCCACCACAAAAATAAATACTTACATAACTAAACACACACAAAAAACATTTTTCATCATAATGAATACATACTTTATGCTACTAGGATAAAGATTCGATTTTTTTCATTCAGGTTTTACTTTTTTTTTGTGTGTGTATTAATATGAGTTAAAGATTCGATTTTGAGTATATGGTGTCGATAAATATTGTGTTTTTTTTGTTAGGGAGTAAGAAAATGTTTATATTTGTTTGTGTTGTGTTGTGTTAGGCGTTTGACCATGAAAATAAAATTTTAATTTATTTTATTTAGCATTTTTAAAGTTAGAATTGGAATTGTGTTTGCCATAATATTTGATTATTTTTTTATATTTGAATGTGTTTTTTATGAGGAAAAATTCTTTTGGCAAGAAAATTTAGCCAGAATGATAAAATAACCTTTTTGAACATTTTTATAATTTCTTTTCATAGTTTTCTATTGTAGGATTATGCATATACAAAGAATTCAGGAATTTGATGGGGGGGACTGTTGAGATATGAGCTGATGATGAAGCAAGGAGAGTACAAGTTAAAGCTGTTAGTGTTAATAAAGGGCATATTAGTCTTTTCCAACTAATTAGTTATAACTAACTTTCTGTTAGTAGATTCTAGAAGTTAGTTACACAATGTAATAGGAATTAGCTATAAATACTAGTCTTACACTGATGTATTACTTAGTCTTTGAACTCAAACAATGAGAGTTCTCTTCTTCAATGTTAGCTCCTTGTTAATGGAGTTTTTCTGTTAATTCTGCATGTTTTCACTTACGTTCATGGTATCAGAGCCGCCCACAACAATCTCTGTGGAAGGTGATCGGTGTTTGGATCAAAGAATTGAGTATTCGATTCACAGATTCATCAGTTTTTCAGTAGAATTGCAAATCTAAGCTACCAATTTATCAGTTTTTCCAGTAGAATTGCAGATCTAAGCTAGGATATGTTATTCAAATTGTATTGTTTGTCATTTGCTTCCGCGACTGTTGATTGATTGGAGCTTTAGAGAAATGGAAACTAACAGAGCAACTGTAGATCTGGATCAAACATTCAACAATGGCCAGAATGAGAGTACATCCACACCACTTCATGTTACATCTGGACAAGGTATTGATTACTATCATCCTCTCTTCCTTAGTCCGGCTGATATTAGTGGAGTTAGCATCATTTCCTTTCAATTGATTGGTGTTGAGAATTATACCTTATGGAATCGTTCAATTACACTAGCACTACTAGGAAGGAACAATGTAGGGCTAGTAGATGGATCCTGTATGAAAGAGATGTTTGGTGAAGAACTGTGGGGACAATGGGAAAGGGTTAATGCAATTGTACTTTCGTGGTTAATGAATTCAGTGTCAAAAAGTCTACTCAGTGGTATTGTTTTTGCATCCAGTGCTTTTCAAGTCTGGAATGATTTAAAAGAGAGGTTTAACAGGATAGATGGATCTAGAACCTACAGTCTACATAAGGACATTGCCTCATTACATCAGGGTACTGATTCTGTGTCTGTGTACTACACGAAACTCAAAACACTATGGGATGAGTTTGAAGCTTTGGTTCCTGCTCCTTGCTGTAACTGTGACAAGTCTAAAGGATTTGTTGCTCATCTGAATAGGTAGAGATTATATCAATTTTTGATGGGGTTAAATGAGTCTTATCATCAGGCTAGGAGCCAAATATTGATGATGAATCCCTTACCAACTACTAATCATGCATATGCTATGATAGTGGGGGATGAGTGCCAAAAGGCTGTGGTTTCAGTCACTAACAACATGGGATTAAACTCAGTTGGAGGAGACTCTGTAGCTATGTTTTCTAAAACTGGTACTTCTTCAGGACCAAGTCAACGGTTCAAAAAGAATTCTATTCTGGTATGTGATTTCTGTCATTGTAAGGGTCACAACAAAGAATTTTGTTATAAGATTGTTGGATATCCACCAGACTTCAAGTCTAAAAGGAAGGTACAAGGGACTTCCTCAGACTCACACCATCAGTTAGCTCACTTCTCATATGGTACGAATACCAATGTTCCTGTTCCAGGATGGGGAAGGAAGTCTAATACTACTCAGGTTACTGATGAAGTGATAGAAAATTCCAAAGGGCACAAAGCAATGAGTCAAGCTGAGATGAAGGTCAAACAACTTCTTCAGGGCTGCACTTTTACAAAGGAACAATATGATCATATTCTCATAGGTTTCCAGAACAAGAATGAATCTACTTCTTCAGACTGTTATCTTGCACATGCTGCTCACACTGCAGGTAAAACTTTCTTTGTTTCTGAAAATAGTAATGTGTGGATTGTAGATACTGGTGCAACAAACCATATGGTATCTCAGTTGGATATGTTTATCAAAGGGTCTTTGATCAAGTTAGAGGTTCCTAAGAGTGTGTATTTGCCTAATGGAAACACTACACAGGTGACTCATGTTGGTTCTTGTGCTCTATCAGATAGAAGTATCATTTCCAATGTCTTTTATCTACCTGAATTCAAGTATAATCTGATGTCATTGAGCAAACTAACAAAGGAACTTGGGTGCTCAGTCACTTTTTCCCCTAACTGTTGTGTGTTCCAGGAACTTTACAGTGGAAAGGTGACGGAGATTGGTGAAGAAGAAGGATGTCTGTATACTCAAAGAAAATTTTGTGAAAATGAGGGATGTTGGTTCACTGATAAGAAAGATTCTGCACTGTCAGTTGCTCAAACTGCCTCAGAGTTGGAGTTATGGCATCAAAGACTAGGACATGTGTCCTCAGGAGTTCTTGCTAGGATGTTTGATATGAATAATCAAAGTATGAGTAGAGTGTCTAAGTGTCTAGTTTGTCCCTATGCTAAACAAACAAGGCTTACTTTTCCTTCTAGCAACATTAAAAGTTCAAACATTTTTGACTTGATTCATGTTGACCTCTGGGGTCCTTATAGCACACCTACTTTTGATGGAAATAAATACTTTCTTACGATAGTTGATGACTTCTCAAGGATGTCCTGGATTTTTCTATTAAAGCATAAATATGATGTGAGCATGTCTATACAACTGTTTCTAAAGTTTGTTAAGAATCAGTTTGCTCAAACCATCAAAGTGATACGGACTGATAATGGTACTGAGTTTGTGAATTCTGTGTGTGAGACTATGTTTAAGGAGATGGG